AAAATTCAGTCAAAATCGGGTCAAACCCATATTTTATAACTGATTTTTCCAACAATATTGAGGCCCGCTGATCGGCAATTGGCCACCTCTATTTCTGCATGTGAGTTTTGACTTTATAATAAACCTCCTTTAGTGAACTGGTCGAGCTTGGTTGGATGTGCTCATTACGGCTAAAAAATAGAAATTTTTATGTGACCTTTTATAAACAAGTTGAACTTGTGCTCTATGACTTAACGAGCATAATTCGATTCATTAAAGCTTTACTTCGAGTTCCAATATGAGAAATTCAATTTCAACTCGTCTCAATAGTAGCTCGTCCTCGAATTCGAACGAGCTCACCTCGTTGACACCTTATACATATCCATTAAAACCTAATTGCATTCTCAATATTTCATCTCATGTCATTAGTCACTTCACAGCTTTAATGTCTTCACAATTTTACGTTTTTATCTTTAAACTTGGAAGGACAAAAGATATGTTACTTTCAGTCACCACTGAAAATGAACCCTCAATAGCTAATTCCCTCTTAAATTAGACGTCTAATTTAAATTTTTAATAATTGTTTTTCATAGAATATAAATCAATAAGAAGTGTAATTATTAGTGGCTACAAGTCATTTGAGATATATTAATTACATTGTTACACCATATATTCATTGGACAAACCACTAAATATTATTTTTATTAGGTAAACACTAACATCTCATTGAGTTGAAATAACTTTTTATGTACTAATCCTTTCATATGACAACTTTTGAAGAATTGATTATGAAATTATTATTATTATTATTATTATTGTAATTTTTAATAAGTATTTTTGCTTCATGTGTCTTGAATCTTGATATCGTAAGTGCAAACGAGTCGAGCTGTTCATAACTGATGACTCGAACTATTTGATGCGTGGGATTAATTAATCGAACTTTTCACGATTGATGAATCATGAACTATTTAAGCACGACCGGTTAAGGCAAGCTCGGAGTTTTTTTAGTTAACCAATTGATTTGAATTTGAAATTGTACCTAGATTGTGAAGGGGCTATACTTGAGCTTCATAAATTTGGAGTGATATGTTATGTTATATATTGCCAAAAGTTTTATTTTTATGTTCTTTTTTTTTTATGTCAAAACTATTTATATCTAAAACTTAATATTACCCTTTTTTTTTATCTCATTAAACAATTTTTCTATAACATTAGTTAATCAATTCGAATGATACGACAACATCCCTTAATATCACATAAATATTTTTTTTAAAATTGATAATTATAATTTTAATATATTCGAGTTAGTTAATTGACCATCATCCCTTAAAATTATTAAAAATTATATTGTTTATTATGGATTATATAATTAATATAATGATTTATATGTAAGTTAAATAATTTATATTTGTATAGTTTGTTTTTAATAATTATAATTTTAAATATCATTTATATACATATGATTTATAATATTTTATTCGTATATGCATATGCACAAAAACATAAGCTGAATGTTCATTTATTTAAAAAGTATAATATTTTTAATTCAGAAAAAAACTCAAAAAATCCAATATTAATATTTTTAAAAAGGTAACAATTTTTTTTTTCCTTATAAATAAATTGAATTTACTAGGTCAATTGAAAGCATCTCAAACAGAACAAAATGTCCATGATGGAGATTAGCTGACAGGGTCCAAAGTCCAAACAATACAAAGTGGTCCAAATCCAAATCTCCGGATAAAATCAAACAGCAGATAACCCTCAATCCATCAGACAAAACGTCTGATACTCTTCCCTTCCATTTTTTTTCCAAACCCATATATAATATTATAAATTAAAATGTACAAATACGCCAAATACATGCCGTTCTTAGTTGAATGGAACATCCAACAGCTGGAAAAGTGGGAAGACATGTCGGAAAATCGTATAGAATCTCGACTAGCAACGCTAGAATAAAAACTCGCAACTAAACTAGCCAACTATACGAACAACTAAAAAAGAGTACCGTAGTACCTAGACATGGCCACCGGCCGTAACGGCCCGTGGCCCGACCCGCAAACCGGCACCAGCCTGGCCTGAATTGGCCCGAAACTAGCCTCCTAAGAGCCGGTTTGTTGAACCGGAACCGTAGGGCCGCGGTTCGATCCCGATTCCATTTTTTTATTTTTGTCCCGTCGGGCCGAGCCAAATTTTTTGTTTTTCTTAAAGGATGTACCGGTCCGTGAACCGCCGGACTGGTGAACCGGCGGTTCGGGCCGGTTCTATGAACCGGCTCTTGGTTTTTAGCGGGCCGGTCGCGGTCCGTGTATTGGAGAGCCTGTGGCCCGGCACCAGGTCACGTCTAGTAGTACCCTTTCATTTATTTATTTTTTTTTCTTTTAAATGAAAATTATCAACCCAATATAACAAAGTGCGAATATTTCAACGTACACGCACCAAGTCATTTTTCATATTAGGCTACCAGACAAAAGAACGTCGAAAACAAAAACAAATAAATAAATAAATTGATAATAATAATAATAATAATTGAGATGTGCAGGAAATTATTTCTATTGATAGGAACGTAACACTATTTTTTCTCCACGCCAGTTTATTTATTTAAATCAAAAACAGCCATCAATTGAAGCCAAATTTGGTTTTCACGGAAATTTTAATACTACAGGTGAGAACTGTGTTTTCACGTAATTTTTTACCATTAAATAACATTTATTCACACTCTCATGTCAATGTGATTTAACCCAATAAAAAAAATTGGTGAGTCGCGTGTGGTAAATTTGACCCTATCGGTAAGTGTAGTGCAGTCTCGAGTTTTTTTTTTTTTAATTATTGGATTAATAAAAATTTGTGTGGATAGTGTTTGATTTTTGATATAATACCGGCTCGAACCTCTCAATGAAACAAAATAACCAGGTTGTGTTAACGAAGAAGCTCGACTCACGTCGACCAAGAAATAATAGTTGAATCTACGTTCGACATGACCTTGGAAGACCAATAGGTCGAATCGACCACGTTCTACTTGACTGATAGAGGTGCTGAAGAGGACCACGTACTACTACAATGAAAGTTGGACATTGTGACGTGGATTGTCTATAAAGGGACAAAAAGGCATCTGTCTGGGAAACCACACTGCACGAGGACTGGACCACATGTTACGATCAGATTGGGTCGTCTGCATCCATTTCACCTGACATCTGAGGTGCTGCAGGTCGTAGGGAAGGGCAGCGGGAGCAGCTGTGTCAACTCTTCGGGCAGACATGGGGAACAAGACACCATCCCCCATGTAAAGTGGCGTGGTGCGTTAGTTTTAGTGTTACATTATCTACACACTTTTATATACTTATTCAGTATTCATCACATTGGATTGATACTTTTTCACTGCCGGCTACCAGTCTAACTTTCACTCTACAAAAGGCAAAGATTATGCGAATGGTTCGCACAAGTGTCACATATTCAATCTTGATCTTGAAAGTGCAAATGATATGCAAATGCATTTATATTTTTAACTTCCGCAAAATGTTATTTGCACAATTATTCGCATAATTATCCAATTTAGCACCTTGTTAGGTGATTAAATTAATTTAAATTCTGCCGTGCGAAAAAAAAAAAAAAAAA